TTACTTCTGACAGATATTTGGTTCTCCTTGAAAAATACTGGGTCATGATATATGTAAATTGCAGTCCCGAGTAATTTGAAGATGTTTATTTGGGGTTAAATGATCAGAAATGCACAATTATATATGTTTTAAATACTTAAAGTATTAATTTGTAAATATGATGATACTGATCATTGAAATAAGATCAAAAGACGTAAAAAATGCCAGAGTTTTATATATTATACATTGTAGTGTATAGACAGCTGTCTATTGTTGCCGACAGCATGACTCCAGTGTTGTACGGTTATCTTTGTCGTTGGATTGCTGCCTCATTGAAGCTTATCCATATCTCCTTTTTTCATATGAATATGAAAGGAATGAGACATCGTACGTAGATTGAGTGGATTGACGTGTTTCATGTACGCAAACTATTTCTGTCCGAGTGCAGAATCTACTGGCGGTGGTTAACCGGTTGTCATTTATCCATGTTCGTTTTTTTTATTTGTTTTATTTTATTCTTTGCGACGGGATTTTGTTGTTCCTTTACATACGCCATTGTGATATGCATAAAATATTAAAAAAAAATGTATATTTGGACAGTATTATACAGAACAAAACGATCACTTCAGAGAAAATAAAAAAAAAAAGAGATCAAAGTTGGAACAAATGATGAAATCATATAAGACATCGAAAAGAGGAGACTTCCAGTAATAGTCTTGATGTGCAGTCATGGCACCACATGATTTGAGGAACCGTGGGACCTCGATCATAGGTTCTCGGTGGACGTCGATCTGAGTCTTACATATATATGAAATATGGCACTGAATATTGACTAAAGACTTTAATTGGCTTATAACTTTTGGTTGTTCAATATGAAATGAACTCGACACATATAGTATACAAATGCCATTCACATTATGCCGTGCGTATTTCTTAAGATAAATAGAACTATAGTTAATGCATTCAACTCTTAGTTTCACCATTTCTTCCCCTAAATGGATAAAATAGTGTTTGTCCAATTTGCAGACAATAGCAGGCGTTATTTTTTCTCCGATAAAGTTTCAATCGAATTGCCTAAATTACATGACTTAAAGGCAATAACTGTTTCATTTTGTTTGCGGGGCATTATCAATTATGACTGGAAACGGCAATTCCCGATAAAAAAATTACGAAGTTTACTGAATCAGAACCACCACCACCATCACATACATCAATCATCATCATCACCTTCATCAACAAAACACGTATAATGTTGTGACCACCGCATATAATGTTTTAACCACTGCATATAATGTTCCGACAACTGCATATAATGTTGTCACGACTGCATATAATGTTGTCACGACTGCATATAATGTTGTCACGACTGCATATTGTGTTGTGACCACTGCATATAATGTTGTGACCACCCCATATAATGTTTTAACCACTGCATATAATGTTCCGACAACTGCATATAATGTTGTCACGACTGCATATAATGTTGTCACGACTGCATATAATGTTGTGACCACTGCATATAATGTAACCACTGCATATATAATGTTGTGACCACTGCATATAATGATAATCATCAACATAAGGCAGTCATGGCGTTCCATAAAATTGAATGTTTTTTCCATCCATATCAGTTAACAGGTGTGAAAAATTTGAGATCTATAGTAGAATTTCGTTTAATAAAAAGCCTCCGAATTATACTTTGAATTATTTTGTCCATCAGGACATTTTATTGGACACGGGAAAACTGACGATGTTTTTAAAGTAACACCGCAGTTACATAATGATGACTTCAGAGAGCTTCTTTAGGACATGTATATATTTTCTGATATTATTAAAATCCATTTTTAACCGTTAAATCTTATAAAAAGTGAAGGCAGAAAGTTTGTGTACGGCTTGAGTAGCTAATTTGGACATTTTTTCTCTTCCATCTCTAAACTCTTCTGATGATCTTCCTTCTCTAACAGTAAAAAACGTCTAAAACCCCATTTTACGTTATAGGTATACAATACAGTTGTAAAATTATATAACATTCTACTTACTATTTAATCCGCACTGGGATTTCAAAGACGCGCACAAAATTGTAACAGCGGAACACCCTTAAAATGACGTTATAGGCATCGAAATGAGCAGAGTTTTTCATTACATAATGTACAAAGCACAAACTCATCTATGTTCTCGATTTCTTTGGTTTATTTCCTTTCGAATGATATGCAGAACATGGATATTTATTGTATAGGAAAAGAGCTTCAATTTGAATAACCCGCCATCTATCGTATATTTCCAAAGAGACACCAATACCGTGCGCAACGTCTTAATCACTTAATTAGTTATATTTCAAATAGAAAAAAAAAGCGTTTCACCTTTTGAGAATACTAATGCAGGAGTTCCGCAAGGCTCTGTATTGGGTCCCCTACTATTCCTTATTCATGTATATGACATAGCTGGTAATTTGATAAGACCAACTCGATTGTGTGCTGATGAAATATCCCTTTCTTTTTAAAGTAATAGTCCTTACACAATAGAGGATGTCTTAAATAGCGATTTAGAACAAATCTTAGCATGGTCTTAAGATTGGCTTATTGATTTTAACCCTTACAAGACAAATGCTATGCTATGGTTGTACTCAACAGAATTCCGACAATTTAGAACATGTTTAGTTAGAAGCAGGAATATTAGTAACTGGGTTGCCCGTGTTTGCTTGTCGGGAAGTTATACATTTTAAGTGAAACAAGCTGAAATCTGCTAGTGGACAGAAGAAAGTCCAGAAAGCTCACTATGTTCTATTCTTTATATAATGGGACTGCCTCTACGATTTAATGCCACTTTTTGGTCAAATGTCTAATTATAATTTGCGAAACAATTATGTGATACCCAGTTCGAGATAGATTTAACCAGAAAATCCTTTTTTTTTCGATCTACTACTATTGAATGGAATAGCCTAAACCCCGACATACGTACGTCCAGAAATATGAATATATTTAAACGAAAGATGAAGTGTAAATTGATACAGACACCTAAGGTGGCGTAGCTAGGCATATTTTTTTTTAGTGTACGCCCGAACTTCGAAGAGGCGCCTAGTGGCCGCAACATACCCCAGCGTGTCCGTGACAGAGCTAGTGTACACGGGTTCCAGAGATCGAAGCCCCCCCCCCCCCCCCCGAAGCTCACGCGTTATCAAGAAAGATATACCGGTATCATCTTTTAAAAAATCATCAATAGCAACATACTTCGGAGACGTATTTGTTTATTTCTTATCTTTACTGTATGCAAAGTAAAGTAAAAGAGACTTCCATAGATTTGTTAAACCACATTTCAAAAGAAATTGGAAAACTGAGCCGGAAGTATTTCTAAGACACTGATTTTTCCTGTTCTATGTAGTTTTCTTACTGGCAAAAATGGAAAAAGATTTTATAAATGCTGTCAGGCACCGACCATTGAAAAACAATCGATCTGTTTAAAAAAAGAAATGAAAATAACTGTTTGTTTTTTGTTTTTGGCAAATTAGTAAAATGACCGTTTGATTTAAAATCATTTGAAAATATTATGAAATAGATTAATGATAATAATTTATTTACATGTGAAAAAGCTAGACTTTGCGGCGTAGGGATGTAATTGAGTGGTTTTGTGTGCAATAATTTCCCATTATTTCGGCAGTGAATATCTGCAAGTATTTCATTATGTTGTTTGATTTACACATTATAACAAAACTAAGAATATGACGGATAAATTTATAGTTAGCTGTTTAACATCCAGTGGCAACTATTAGATGCAAGTAATCGTTGTAAATATAACGAAATTTGATAAGACTGTCGTACAAGTGAGAGGTTTAGCGCTATAAAACCAGGTTCAATCCACCATTTTCTACATTTGAAAATGCCTGTACCAAGTCAGGAATATGACAGTTGTTGTCCATTCGTTTGATGTGTTTTGTCATTTGATTTTGCCATGTGATTAGGGACTTTCCGATTGAATTTTCCTCGGAGTTCAGTATTTTTGTGATTTTACTTTTTAGATGTATTATTAGGAGGACCTTTAAAATGTTATAAATATGAACAAGGACATCCTTTGTTATGCAAACATGAGTATCACGGCACAAGCGATGACCTTTAGACCCTGTGTAGCATATGTATATTAAGGGTTGCTCCGAATAAAGGGGATATAGATACAGGAAAATAAAGTAAAAAAAAATATAAAATAAGAATAGAGTATAACGGGCAAAATAAAAAATAGAGGAAAATGGTCTTAGAAAATTTAAGAATAGAGGGAAACGGTCTAGTTTTTGTTGTTAGAAAATTCAAAAATGAAGACGCTCAATTATGATTTTACTTAAGAATTCGAAATTTTTCATTTGCCGGACGCGCTCTTTTTTGATTATTAACACTGGACACTTTTAATTTGCAAAACACTCATTTGCAAATCCGCCGCCGCCTCTCCTTAGACCTACAGTGTCGTGTAAATAACCAAAATGTGCGGAATTACATGGGATTCAATTATTTCATTGCTTTTCTGCTGTTATTATTATATATATTTTGTAATTTGATTTAGAAAAACATGGGATTTTCAATATCCCATGGGATAGGGCAAATCCCATGGGATTGACCATTATCCCATGGGATTTTGGTTAAATCCCATAGGATTTTTTTGGGTCCCATGGGATAATTGTAGTCCCATGGGATATTTGTTGTCCCATGGGACAAAAAAAATCCCATGGGACTATAATTATCCCATGGGATTTTTAATATCCCATGGGACAAAATAAAATCCTATGGAATTCAAATTATAAATATACAGTAATGTGTATGTTACAATGAATTCTGTTTGGTAGTAAAAAGTTTATAATATATATATGAGTGTATTTTGGTTTTTTTCATTTTGTCACAAACATGTTTTGAATTTGTTTATATGACAATAAAGATTATTATTATTTTGGAAATATAATAATATTTAAAGTCAAAAAATAAAATCCTTTAACTGAAATAAAATGATGACGTCTTAATAAAAGAAAAAAATATTGATTTGAAATCTTTGTCTTCTTTGTTTTATTATGAAAAATAGAACTGAAAAAAATATTTCATATTCTGACTGAATAAATTGACAAAGCACAGTTAATAGTTTACTCTTTTCATGAGGTAAAGTTTTCTTTGTTATAGTTCCATTGCAATACATGAATATGCAAACGATTTGAATCTTATTCCTTTGTGGTGTTCATAATATTACATTTATATTTGTAAATTTATAAAATAAACACTTTTCCTGTTAATTTTTAGTTTTCTTGTTTCAGCTTGCTATGAACAATTATTCAGTCCACTATATAAGAGTCAAGTAAATAAATTATTTCATCCACTAGAATACTCCTACAATTCTTAGACAAAACATTTTTGCAATCTGTTCTTCAAAAATCTTCCTCCGTACATCTTTATTGGATGGAGCAATTTAAATGAGTGGACAAAGCAAGTTCATTTGGACAACAAAATACTAATATATTTTTTCATTCCTCCTTTCTTTCAATTGATAATTACGTTGTTGCATTTACATGATTAAGTTCTTGAGCATCTATGATCATGATGATATGACTCCTTTTTGTTTATAGTCATTATGTTGAAATTTCCTCTTTCTTATGTAGGAAAAAAAACACATTCCATTTCAAATTAATAAAAAAGTCACACTATGTAGAAAAATATCAACTTTAAGTTTGCTGTTCAGTATTGACCTGTTGAATGATGATCATGAAAATCAAGATGTCTGACCTACAAATACACAAAACTCAAAAATTATAAATGAAGAGAAATACAGCAATAAAATGGCTATTTTATCATGTTTATGTACATTTTGATAAAAATTTCATTTGAATATTTAAAATTGTAAGAACTCTTATTTCAGTGCTTTGTGTCTATGGTTTTCATATTAGTTGTTTTTTGTGCCTTGTTGCAGTCTTTTGAGTTAAGCCAATTGCAACAAACAGTTTGTTCAAATGTTGTGCTGTTATTAAAACCACTGTCCCAGGTTAGGGGTGGGTTGGGTGCTCACTAAATGTTTATTTTATTAGTTGATATTTGCTTTGAATCAGCTGTCAGTAACTGTGAGTACTAATAGATCTGTATGTTGAGTTTTTTGTTAAAGGGAAAGAATAAATTTCCAGCCACATCCGGTCTGTGTTTTTGGTAGCTGTTTTTCTGCTTTGTTGCATTCTAATGAGTTAATAAAATTGAGAATGAAAACGGGAATGTATCAAAATAACCTGACCCAAGAGCAGAAAAAAACCCTTTTCAAGTGATTTTATAGTGAACTGACACTTACACCACTGTCCTTAATTAGAGGAGGATTTGGCACCAGCAAACATGTTAAACCTTGCCACATTTTGTAAGTGTCTGTCCCAAGTCAGGGGTCTATTATTCAGTGGTTGTCAATTGTTGCTATATATCATATTTGTTTTTTGTTTATTGTTTTGTGCAAAAATCAGGCACTTAGCTTTCACCTTTGTGGTGTTTCCCCCAAGCATGTTTAGCATGGATAGACACCATGCCCTTTTTAAATGACACCATGCCCTTATTGAAATGTTTTCCATTTGTTATTTCATGGCCTTTTATGGATTACTATGCAGTATAGGGTTTGCTCATTGTCGAAGGCTGTACAGTGAACTAATTTTGTTAAATATAATGTCATTTGATCTCTATTGGAGAAAAGTCTCATTGGCAATCGTACCGCTTCTTATTTTTATATCAACCCTGCCATATTTTGCCTGTCATTATTTACAGGTCATCATTGGCCTCTAATAAGTAATTGCATTGCTTACATCCACTTATTTTCATAATAATCATTATTCAAGGGCAATAACTTTTATAGAAGTGGACTTACCATTTAGGCTTTGTTGACGTCTGTAAATCTATTTTTGTTGATAATTTCTTTTGTTTATAGTTTCCCTTTATCTTTAATGTTCTTGCCCTACACATAAAAGGGTAAACATTATCATTTAATGACAATAACTACTATTATATAATGAGTAGGCAACTGACAATTTTGGATCATTTGTATCTTGTCTTGCTCATCATTTTTGCTTGATATTATCAATATTCTATGAAAATGAGGTCACAGTAATATTAAACTTGGCAGACAGACATCTTCTTATTTTTATATGACACCTTGCAGTCATGCCATACACCAACAAATAGACATATGCTTATAATATCTGATAAAATGCTCCGCTTGGTGCAGCTTCATACGACCGTAGAGGTAAAACCCTGAATAGTTGGGGCAAGTATGGACACAACATTCAAGCTTGATACAGCACTGAATTTGGATTGTGATTAAATATTTGACACAGCATAGGTTTCTGACACAGAATGAATGTGGTCTAAGAACTTAAAAAATTTTAATTTACCTATTCAAACCATATCATTATTATTTGCTTTTATATATAAATCAGAAATAACCAATTTAAAATGGAAAATTTTAAAGAAAAAAAAAAGGAAAAAAAGGGAAAAAAAAATCCCCCCCCTCAAATATTTTGAACCCCCTTATGATTCATCACCCCAAACTCAATCCCAGCCTTCCCTTTGTGGTATGGTACCTTGCAGTACAATTTCAGAGAGATCCATACACTTATACACAAGTTATTGTCTGGAAACAGAAAAATGCTTGTTTTTTTTTTTTGCCCCTTTTTGGCCCCAAATTCCTAAACGTTTAGGGCAATTACCCCCAAACTCAAACCCAGCTTTTCCTTTGTGATATGGAACCTTGTAGTACAATTTAATAAAGATCCATTCACTTACACACAAGTTATTGTCCTGAAACTAGAAAAATGCTTGTTTTTTGCCCCTTTTTGGCCCCTTATTCCTTAAATTTTGATTTTTTACCCCCAAAATCAATCCCAGCCTTCCCTTAGTGGTATGGTACCTTGCAGTACAATTTCAGAGAGATCCATACACTTGAACACAAGTTATTGTCTGGAAACTAGAAAAATGCTTATTTTTGGCCCCTTTTTGGCCCCTTATTCCTAAACGTTTTGGGCAATTACCCCCAAACTCAATTCCAGCTTTCCTTTTGTAATATGGAACCTTGTAGTACAATTTTAGAAAGATCCATACACTTACACATAAGTTATTGTCATGAAACTAGAAAAATGCTTGTTTTTTGCCCCTTTTTTTGCCCCTAATTCCTAATATTTTGAGGCAATTACCCCCCAAAATCAATCCCAGCATTCCCTGTGTGATATGAAACCTTGTGGTACAATGTCAGAGAGATCCATACACTAACACACAAGTTATGTCTGGAAGTTACAAAAATGCTTATTTTTGGCCCCTTTTTGGCCCCTAATTCCTTAACTGTTGCTACCATAACCCCCAAAATCTATCCTTATGGTAAAATTTCATAGAGATCCATTCACTTAAACTAAAGTTAGAGTGCGAAAACCAATGTGTATTGGGACGACGACAACGCCAACGTCATACCAATATATGACCGCAAAAATTTTTTGCGGTCGTATAAAAAACCAAGAATACTTAGCATTCACCAAAGAACCATAAAATGCGATCATGGTTATATGAATCTGCCAGACAGACATGCACACCTTACAATCGTTACATCTGCCAAATATAATTTACCTGTTGCTTAAAGCATATGATAAACTGACAAAACAATGCAAACTTTTCATTGACCAATGAACCATGAAAATGAGGTCAAGGTCATATAAAACATGCCAGACAGACATGTGCATCTCACAATCATTCCATTCACCAAAAATAGGGGCCTTATTCATGTTATTGCTTACAGTATCCGAAAAAAACCACAAAAACTAAACATTGTCCAATGTACTATGAAAATAAAGTCAAGGTAAGATGAAACTTTTCAGTCAGACATATGCACCTTACAATCATTCCATACACCAAATATAGTTGACCTATTGCTAATTTGAAAATAAGAAAATAGAAAAACTGACCAAAAAACAAAAAAATAACATTGAGCAATGAACCATAAAAATGAGGTCAAGGTCGAATAAAACATGCCAGACTAACATGTACATCCTTAAAAATTTTCATACACCAAATATACTTGACATGTTGCATACAGTATTAGAAAAACTGGACATTTTTACCTAGGAATAGTGATGTCATGGACTTTGGGAAAATTAGGCTGGGGACATAAATTACTGACATCGGACTAAATATACTAGTAAATTCTGTATCCATGGACTTTTTATACTAGCTATATTTGTCTGACCAGACAATTTATCTCTTACACTAGTTCTCAGAGAGACATGTCACCTTACCTTGACACAATATTCTGGCTCTGAACAAACCAGTATTTGCTCTTACTCCTTAATAATACTGCGTGCTTAGGGGAGAAGCAGCAAATACCAACTTTAAAGTCTTTGGTTTTACCCGGTTGGGTTCAAAATAAACAACCTTCTGCATGTGAGGTGAACACGCTACCATGAGACCAGGCAGTATAATATAAGGAGTTTACCCAAGATTTAAAGTTTCCAAGTTTTTGCAAAAACTGGATCAAAATCATCATTGAAAAGCAATAACTTTTTAATAAGATTTAAGTTTCTCTTTAATTATTACAGTTTTCGAGATAAAAAGGCAAATTCAAGAAATATGAAGAAAAAAAAAATGGTGAAAATCTGTATTTAAGGCAACAACTCCTATGAGTCAGCTGCCAGTTTTGATGCAAATGGACAGTACATTTTTTTTTCAACATTCTGAACATTTCTACCCTTGTCAGATATTGTCTATCTATTTTAGCCTTTTGTAGCTTATAACGCAGTTTGGCTTTTTAGCCCATTGTTGAAATCTGTACGGTGACCTATATAGTTGTTAACTTCTACGTTTTTAGTTTCTGTTGAAGAGCCGTCACATTGGCAGTGATACCATATTTGTATATGTTTTTGTCATGTAGGTGTAAGGAGACAACCTTTTGATTTTCTGGGGGGATAAAGGGGGAGACAGATTTTTTATCACCTGGCCTGGTAAGTTTTTCAGGGTTCGTAAGGATAGAAAACCCGGCAAATTGTAACAAACCCCTGTGGTACGACCATATTTGCCAAAAGATAAGTCCAAATAATTAAGACGTCTTGCAAGGCTATTTTAACTTTTTTCTGGGCACGTAATAGGCAAAGTTGTGACTGAGTGCAGAAATATGAAGATAGATAGATAGAAAAATTATAAAGGGACATAACTGAAGAACGGTAAAAGTGACGCTACCCAAATTTGAACTTGATCTGAGTTTTGTGGTAATAAGCATTGTGTGCAAGTCTCATAATATTTGGTTGAGGCTAACTTAAGTAGAGAACAGAAACTAAAAATTCAGCAATTTTTCTATTTGTAAACACGCATAACTCTATAGCTAGAACGGTTGTGTATAAGTTTTATAACATTTGGTTGAGACAAACTAAAGTTAGAGAACGGAAACGAAAAATTCAGCAATTTTTATGTTTATAAAGGGACATTACTCAAGAATGGTAAAAGTGTCGCCACCAAATTTCGTACTTAATCTGTATTATGTAGCAATAAGCATTGTGTATAAGTTTCATAACATTTGGTTGAGGCAAACTAAAGTTAGAAAACGGAAACAAAAAATTTGTACTTGATCTTAGTTTTGTGGTAATGAATATTGGGTATAGGTTTCATAATGTTTGGTTGGGGCAAACTTAAGTAACAGAATGGAAACTAAAAATTTGCAATCATTCAATTTATAAAGGGGCATAACTCAATAATGGTTAAAGTGACACTACCCAAATTCAACTTGATCTGTGTTTTATCAGTGGAAGTCAAAATTAAACATTGCATTGTATAAAGCATTGATTGTAGTTGATTCAACTATAATAATGGACAAAGGAAGATAATTCCAATTTTAAAAATTACTTGATATTTAGAAGAAAATAAAAATTTTGCAATTTTTCCATTTATAAAGGGGCATAACTCTAGAACGGTTAAAGTGACGCCACCAAAATTCAAACTTGATCTGTGTTTTGTGGTAATAAGCATTGTGTATAAGTTTTATAACATTTGGTTGAGGCAAACTCAAGTTAGAGAACGGAAACTAAAAATTTTGCAATTTTTCCATTTATAAAGGGGCATAACTCTAGAACGGTTAAAGTGACGCCACCAAAATTCAAATTTGATCTGGGTTTTGTGGTAATAAGCATTGTGTATAAGTTTTTACTTTAACATTTGGTTGAGGCAAACTCAAGTTAGAGAACGGAAACCAATTTTGGGACGTACGGACGTATGTACGTACAGACGGACAAGGGTAAAACTTAATGCCCCCACCGCTACGGCGGGGGCATAAAAAAAATAAAATAGCCTTGCTAGACGCTGAGACTACTATAACACATAGTTATAGTAGTCTCAGCTAGACGTCATAATTATTTGGACTACCAAAAGATGTAACCTAATTCTTACTTGTTTGGGGAAGAGGGGAATAACCGAACCAATATTATTCAATCTAAATCAGTGAACTGAATTATTGTCTTCTGCAGTAGTCCGAGTTGACATCTGTAACTAATCATGCAAATTGATAGTCAACAGTATACCTTTTTCAGAATGTCAGTTCACAAAGAATCACTGGTGATAGGGGAGTGTAACCGATAAATTGATCCTGAATCAGATAAGATTTTCCAAGGACGCATAACTAACACAATACGTCCTTGGATTTTCCCAGTAACGGAGAACCCCTTTCTTTGAGTGAATATAAATAGTGACGGGGGTCTCACAAATAAATTTAAATCTGAATTACAGGAACATCGATTAGCAAAGTAAACTTACATATTAATCTCGAAGTTATTTACGGTAAAGACAGAATTAAAGTATTATACATTTGTGTATTTTACTCGGGTGGGGGGGGGGGGGGGGGGGGGGGGCACTTCCTATATACAAGGTGATAGGACGTGCCGCTGGAATATGTCACTTTTCCCAGCTTGAAAATATGGGAATAGGTGGGGAAAACTATCAGAAATAAATGATAAGGTCCAATTACTTGTATATGAAAAGCCCTGTCATTTTTTCAAAGCCGAAAGTCTCGCCGTAAGTAAACATTACATACAGAATCTTAGCCTTAAATATTCCACTTTTCCAACACACCCCACGAAAACCAACCAATATGGGAAAAGGTTACAATTTTACCCATGCAATATATGAAAAGGTATACATTTTTAAGATCTAAATTATATGAATAGGGTGGGGTAACAGAACCCCAACGACATCCCCTACCTAGCACCTATTGAAGTGCCCTTCCCCCACCGGAGGTATTTTACTGCTACAAGATACGATTTGATTTGCTAATCACGCACCCGTTGATGAGCAGAGAACCATACTTTCAAGCCAGGGGCAGTCTATACTAACAGTTAGTATAGAAAGTCCCTGTAAAAAGGCAGGCAAATCCTAACAGTACTGTAACTTAATGATACATGTATATCAAGTTACAGCACCTCACCCAGCACAGTTAGCACACTGGTGTGTGTCAGTCTTATAATATAAAACTGCGTAGGTTCATATCGTTTGATTCAACGCTTTTTCGGATATTTTTTAGGACCGTTGTCAACTTGACAAAATTTCCTTCTAGATACTAGCTTTTGATCATAAACAAGCTTCTGTCCAAGTTTGGTACAAACCCAGGATAGTTTAAGAAAGTTATTAAAATTTTAAAAATTTTAACCACAGTGTGAATGTAATATTTACCAGCAGAAAAACTAAGTCCATTTATAAGTAAATTTACGGAAAAAATGGAATTTTATTTTTACAAAATTTATTTCTGGATACTATCTTATGATCATAAACAAGCTTCTGTGCAAGTTTGGTAGAAATCCAGGATAGTTTAAGAAAGTTATTAAAATTTCAAAAACTTTAACCACAGAGTGAATATTTGTGGACGCCGCCGACGACGACGCCGACGGAATGTAGGATCGCTATGTCTCGCTTTTTCGACTAAAGTCGAAGGCTCGACAAAAAAAAACGTGTTATAGAAGCCTCTTATGTTACCTGAAAAAAAATACAATTAATTATTATAACACATAACACCAAACAAAAGATCAAACTATAAAGACCAGTGATTACGTAACTTTAATCAATCAGGATATGATTGAATTAAGTGATCACGAGTGACATTACCTTAGTTCACAATCATTAGACAATTGTTGAATAAACAAACTAATTATAGACTAATGATTTGATAAAACAAGTCAATATGATGAGTTAAATTTTATAGGTTCCATTGGACTGTAAATATTTATTAAGCTTTTCTGTGTGTGAATTAAATAAAATAAAAATCGCCATGACGTTCAAAGTTATCATGGAAAATAACTTCATATTAATATGTTGACGCTGCTATATAAACAGACACAATCACACTCATTTTCGTATCGATTTAAAATAATTCTTTGACTGGTACTCCAATAATTCACTTACCTGTTGTCATCCATCATTTTTACAAATTCCATTTAAATAAATACTGTTAAAATTTGTTACAAAATCCTCCAAAGTCAATATAGTTTATTCATATTTTATTATGGGGCCGGATCGACGTAGGGACGGATCGACGTGGGCCGGATCGACTTGGGACGGATCGACTTTGGGCCGGATCGACTTGGGGCCGGATCGGTTTGGGGACGGAACGACCGGATACCGTGTCGCTTTGGCTAAAAAGGGGGCATTAGTTTTTTTTCTTGGGACAAAAAATTGTTTCTATCTTTATTAAAAAAAAAAATTAAGACCAATCATAAACTTTTTTTTCAAAACTCAGTGTCGTATTTTATTGTTTTCCCAACAATTTTTAATAAAAGCTTAAAATGTTTGTTTCACTTCCCTCTGACTTCTCTCCTGATTTTTTTTCTCAAGAAATTATAGAATCAGTAAATGGATATATATATATGTCTGTGTTCACAGTCATGCAGTTAGATAAGAAATTCCAGCATGCATCATCAAATAATTCATGTGTATTTGTGACATCAACATAACTGAAACATTATATTATTTCCCAGTAATTAGTAAATCATTTTGATTTACAATTATATATGTCTGGGACTTATGCATGTATATATCTCACAGGCACTTGTCTCAGAAAAAAAAAATCCTATATACTTTAATAAAAGTATATAGGAAAAAATTCTGAGACAAGTGCCTGTGATATATCTGTCAGTCCCAGAATAATAAATATAATTGTATCTTAATCTTTGGAAAATTCCGATTATTAAATTGTTAAATTCTTTTACGTCATAATTATATCAAAGTATACTTTTTAAAGTTAAAATGAATATTCCGTTTTGATCTGAGGAAAAACTTTTTAAACTGTAATGACATGGTCAGTCAGCGTGGCATGGCTGATTACAGGTAATTAAAGCATGCAGTAATTTTCCATTACGACAGTGCGTGTACCCTGGGGTGTGTATAACGTATTAGAAATATCATAGTTTTCTAGAGAACATCCTGTCTATGTGTAATACAGATTAATGACATTACACAAAATTTCTTTCGTTAAATGTAGTTAAGTATCTGTGTCCATTCCCTATTGCAACACTACAATTCTTTCGAAGAAAAAAATGTTAAAATTAAAAAAAAAAAATCATTTATTTAAAATAAAGAGGAAAAAAGTAGCAAATAAACATATGTAACTACGCATTGAGTAAACATAATTTCACTTTACATGTACAAACCCTTGAGAAAACGTATATATAGATGTGTTTAAAAAGGCCAATTCCCAGTGGATTTATTTCACACTAGGACCACAGGCACTTGTCTCAGAATTTTGTTTCCTATATACCTTAATACATGCAGGGAATTTCTATACTAACTTAGTATAAAAAGTCCCTGCTTAATATAACATTAAAAGTATATAGGAATTTTTTTTCTGAGACAAGTGCCTGTGACTAGAAACTAAGATAACTAGAACTAAGTTCATTGGAAAGTCTTTTTGTCTGATACATGTACATAATTAAGAACAGCTTCAAATATATGCCTATAAATTAACGGTACGTCTAAAAACCGCTCAGGACCTCCTGAGTGCAGACAGGACATAAAAAGTCACTCAGGACATGTATATATGTTTTAGTGAGCGTTGAGGGTATACATTCGATAGATAATTTAATATTTGATCTTATTATTTTGGTTTTGATAAAATCAAACCAACATTAAAGAAGTTATTTGGGATACGTCATGCATGACCGATGATCATATTCAATACCAATCATCATTTTGATTACGACGTTTGATCTTTAATAATTAGGACTGATTGATGATGGTTATAAACACATACAAGTAAACTTTGCAAAAAAAAAAAAAAAAAAAAACGTTTCCTTGGAAAAATTATAAAAATACATGAAATATTGTTTTTACAAAAGAAGTTAAATAAATTTTTCGTTTTGTATGTAATAATTGAAGCCATTTAGAAATATAAGAAATCTTCACATAGTCGGGAAATTTTCAATTCAAGTTATTTCATTTGAAAACGTTAACAAATATAGATCTTATTCGATGTAAAATGTGGCGACTTGGAGATCAAAACCCCGTTTAAATAGGGTTTGTCTACTTTCGTCTATTGCCGAACATTCTATAATTTGTAAAAATCCTTGCTATAATATAATGAATCGCGTCGCCAATATCACCACAATTACATAAAGTACAAATACAATCTTCTCCTAAATATCTAGCATCTAACAATTACAATAGGAAATTTTGAGTCGAAACTGAAGTACCAAATCTACAAAAAGAATCACTATTTTTTGTAGTAGTAGGCGTTGAAAACTAAACTGTTTATAATCTTTTTTTTCTCCTAAATTAATTGAAACTCCTGAAATAATTTAACATTATCTATAGACAGCTTACATATGCAAATCTTTTTAGAAGTATGTGAGTGTTTAGTAATAATTTGTTCATTAACCCCCCTTTTTCCTTCTATAAAATTACATTGTAATCGATTTTATTTCCAAATTTGTGTTTGCTAGGATTGACACTTAGAACGTACAACAAAAAGTAACAAGTAAAAAGTCACAATTCAGTTTTCGGATATTTTTTTTCTTTTAATAAACTTAATTTTAAAAACGTTTCAGTATTTTTCTGAAACATTTTTAAAAGGAAACGGACTTGTAAACAAAATGTATTTTTGAATATTAATATGAACAATGATTGTTAAGAAAACAATCTGCCAAAGTGGTTTGGTAATTAACTGAAGTCATGCTGTCAAAAATGTCTCCTTTTTATAAGTTATTGATAAAAAAAAACTATTTGAAGGCGAATTAATCATTTCCTCAACTAAATACATTTATCTATAAATAAAGTCAATTCGTCAAGAACTTTCTCTCATATATTTAAACAATTGTAAAATAATTAATTTAAACCTTTGTCCTGCGACTTTCTGTCCGTTTACCAATACTTATTCCTTGTTAAGTTATTTCATATCCATTTACGAATACTTATTACGTGATAATTAATTTTTCCGGATGCTTTTTATCCTATTTTCATATCAAACAACCATGTTACCCGTAGAATGGAGTTAAGTACAAATTTAGGAATTTAGTACTTAAAATTTTCAACAACAAATTTTACACTTTCATTTACCTGGATTTTTTTCTACGCTTCGAAGCCGCCACCCTGTATCAAACTTATCCAACACCTCGCATGGCGTAT